TCTGAGCCCCAGCCCGGGGGCCCTGCCCCGGCCTGCCTGGCCCTCTGACATCCCAGCAGGGGCACCGCGCAGCTGCTCTCCACAGCCAGGCTCCCCGGGCCCTGGGGCTGTGCCCGCTGTGGCCGTCTCCCTTCTGTCCCCAGCGGCCCCAAACCCAGGCCCCAACAGGAGAACCAGCGCCCGCGGCCAAGCCACATAGGATTCCAACAGGGATCCCGCCGGGCCAGGCCAGGGCTCACAGCTCAGCTTCCCATCCTGGCAGGGTCACACGCCAGAGCACAAACCCTGTGAACAAACGCCCCTGGGAACAGCTGTCCCCACGAGGGGGCCGCGTCTCCACCCCAGCCGGCCCCTCAGTGCTGGAGCCAATGGAGAGCAAGGAGGTCAGGGCCCGCGAACCCTGGGGCTGTCCCACCCTCACCACCGCCTGCTTGGTTCCCTGCACTTCCCCCCAGAAGCCCGCAGCAGCCCTGAACCTGCCCCGTGTCCCGGTCCAGCCCCAGACCATCCGGGGTCCAGAACGTCAGCCGTGGAGGCGCATGAAGAGGCTGCCTCTCCTGGAGCCCGGATTCTGGGCCAGGTGGTGCCACGCTTTGGACAGTGCCCAGAAGGCCTGGCCAGAGGCATCCCGAACCACGGAGGATGAGCTTGGCCAACTGAGCCGTGCTGGACCCTCACAAGGGCCTCGAGAAGGCGGCACGGCTGCACCCCCATCCTAAGAGCGACATGGAGGCCGGGGGGGGGGGCGGCTCGCCAACACAGCAGCACCAGCGGGCAGCGGGAAGGCAGTACCGGGGTTGAAGAGGACGATGGCGCGCAGGCAGCCCAGCTCCGTCTTGTCCATCTGCATGTCCCGCATCTTGGACACAAGCTCCGTCAGCACCCTGAGGGGGAAGCGGCCAGATCCAAGTCAGGCTGTGTCCCCCAGGGCCCCCCAGAAACCCCCGAAGGACTCCGGGAGCCCGACGTGGGCCTGGAGGGCAGCTGAGACGGGCCGACGGTCTCCACGCACAACCTGTCCGGTCCCAGCCCCAGGGTGAGCGCCTCTCCCCTCACCAGAAAGGGTCTGCACGTGGGACTTTACTCTGGGAACCTGGGGACAAGGAGGACCTTCGTCTGAGGCGAGCCAGAGCTCAGCTGCAGACCAGGCACGGTCTGGCCCTGCTGCCCCCATTCCGACCGCCACCTCGAGCCCATGGGAGGCCGTCTCCCTGGCTCCTGGCTCCTCCTGGTTGCTCCACTTCCCACCACCGGCCACTCATCACATGCCCTTCACCGTCGCCTCCCAGCATCTGGGACCCCTGGACGGCCGGCTGCTGCATGGCTGGGGCTGAGCTTGAAGACACCCCCCCAGAGGGACACGCTCCCCACAGGAAGCTCTGTGGGCAATGAACGCTGCCCCCCACAGCCCCCTTGGGTGGCGCCCCTGCACTTGCGTTTACTAAAGGCCCTGAAACGTCCTGCAGCAAAGACGTCTACACACTGTCTGCACCAGCGCCCGCCCGCAGTACGCGGCGCGTGGAAGTCAGAGGGGCGGCACAGCTCCCACACTTACCCCCAGGGGGCGCCGGCAGGGGACCCGTCCCTCCACCTCCTCCCCGGCCTGCTCCTTCCCCCTCGCCACTCCTGGGCAGCAGCCCCCCTCCGAGGGGCCCGCGCCGGCTGGCTGCGCCGACGCCCAGGTCCCCAGGGGCCCCAGGCCCTCTGGGCTCCCAGACAAGACCAGCCGGAGACAGGAACGGGCAGCTCCTGGCCGCCTGGCCTGGTGCAGCCGACGGGCTGTGCTTCCGAGAGCACCTGAAGGCCACGCCCGCCCGCCGACCAGCCCCAGGCCTCCGGGTGTGAGCTGAGAAGCGGCAGCGGCGCACAGAGGTGTGTGCTAGTCCCGGCTCAGAAGAGGCCCTGTCGTGGCCGATGTGACAGCCACCGTGAAACTGTATCCACGGCGTAATCTACCTTCGCTTTAGAAACAGTGCAGCCTTCCTCCCCACATGCAGGGTTTAAAGAGGGAATGGGCGGGGAATAAACCAAAATGCTAACTGTGGCTGTCGGGTCCCCCCATGGTCCACGTGCAAAACCTTCAGGAACAGGACGGACACCGGGCACCTGTCAAAGATGGCGCCCACGCCCGCGCTGTGGGCGCTGTTGCGGTGGACGTGCAGCCCGGTGGCCAGGAGGATACCGTCCTTCACGGCTATGGAGCGGTGGGAGAAGGATGCGATGAGCAGCTCGTTCCAGCCTGCGGGGAGGAGGTGCACGCGGTCACCGCTGTCTCCAGGCCCCCAGCCACCCAGCCCCCAGCCCCCAACCCCAGTTCAGACCTCCAAAGGCGGCTCTCACACACCCATCCCTCTGGGAACCCAAGCCAGGAATCCAGGGAACCCCAACCCCATGAACATTCCACAGAAAGGAGGTTCCCGAGCACTGGCGCCTGGGAGATGCCTCTACAGTGCGCATGGGCACAACAAAGGCCCTGAGGAGTCCTGTGCAGAGCATCTCCTGAAGCGCAGTTGAACCCCAGCCCTCCCAAACTCGGGTGCCGGGGAAGTCTCTGTCTGCAAATGCAAGATGCTTGTGCCACAGAGCGAGAGGGAGGTCCCACGACCCTTTCTGGGCAGCCGCACAGCAGCTGCCACCAGTCTGGTCCCAATGGCAAACTCCCAAAGATCGGCACGTGCTGCGTGAATGCCACAAAACAGGAAGTTATTAAACTGAAAAAAGGCATCTTGGAGCCACAGGCCAACTCACGCTCCCTGTAAGTGAGGCCCTGGCGTGCACAGACCAGAGTGGGTATGAGGGCTGGGAGCAGGGAGGGGAACAACTCCGTGCTCAGACGCTTCAATGCTGCTGTGAACTGGAGCACGTGAACCATCTCCCCTAAGGACACCACTAGTGACTGTCACGGCCACCACTCCCGAGGGCTCCAAAGGGTCCAGGCTCCATGGCTGACAGACAGTATCATGTGGATCATCCCACCTAATCCTGACTCAACCCGACAAAGCAAGTACCTGCCTCATTTTACAGAGGGGAAAACTGAGGCCCAGGGAGAGGAAGGGGTTGCCCCGTCAGAGAATCGGGAAGAGACCCCAGCGCCTCTTCGACAGCCTCCCCTGATGGCTCTGGGTGCTGGGTTTTAGAGTGAAGGCTCTTCAGGGCTGGGCTGCCCCCCAGCACAGGCCTGGGGCACGCTGGTCAGGAGGCGGCTGCTGAGGGGGCTGCAGCCCTCTCCCCGCGCCTCCCAGCTCATCCGTCCCTGCTGTCCCTCCGGCAGGAACTTGCACCCTGGATCCCAGCCTCACAGCGGACACCGGCTTCCCCTCGGCACGTCCGTCATGACCACTTCTGGGACTCAGGCCTGACCCCACGCCCGAAGTGGACGCTCCCCACAGCGGCCCGGCACCCCCGTGGGGCCCCGCTCAGTCTCGGGAGATGTGTGTCACAAGCACAGGCCAGGAAAGGGGAGGAGGCAGAACACACAGACCCCTAAGGGCAGCCCCTGCTGCACACGCCTCCTTCTCCACAGCCCCTCCAGACAGCCCTTTACCTCTCTGAAGGCCACCAGCAGAGACCCCAAACTTACTATGCCCCTATGAGGCAGGTGAGGGAAACTGAGCTGGAGGGGGCAGTGCTGGAGCAGGACCCCGGCCCTGGGTCCCCAGGCACCCTCCCCCCTACAGCCCCACACAGCAGGAGAGAGGGGTTGCCCCAATCCCGTCCCTGCATCCCCGCCCCCCAGGCCCGCCACTCACCTGCCCTCAGCAGGATGACCTGGTCGTCCAGGGGCAGCTCGGAGAAGTGCGGGATCCGCTTGGCCCACTCCACCAAGGTGAACAGCTGCTTGTCCGCCGCTTGGCAAATGTTGGTGACGGGGTCGTTGGGCTGGGGGAGGGGCACGCAGTGAGCGCCACAAGGAGAGCGTGGCCCCAGACCAGGCCCCCCATGCTCTACCCATGGAGGCGGAACAACACCCCCCAGGACATCCTCGTCCTCACTCCCAGAGCCAGCAAATACACCACTAGTGACAGCGAAAGGAGCTCTGCAGACGCGATCGAGGTACAGGTTTTGAGGAGGGAGGTTATCCCAGAAGAGGTGGGTGGGCCCAGTGTCATCACGAGGGTCCTTACAAGAGGGAGGCTGAGGTCAAGGAGAAGATGCTGCCGGCCATGAAGTTAGAGGAAGGGCCCGGAGCCAAGGAGCAGGGGGGCCTCCAGAGCTGGGAGGGGCCAGCACCGGTGCCCAGATGTGGCCCAGAAATACTGATTTCTCCAGGAGCATAAGATAGGAAAATCCGTTGTTACAGGCACATAGGGTGTGGTCATGTGTCCCAGCAGACACAGGACAATCGCCCCGTGTTGTGACCCACTGGGTCCACACTGCAGCCCTGGGGGGCAGTGCCGGGCGACTTCGCGTCCCAGACCAGGGAACCGAGACACGGGAGAGCGTGTGGGGCCGGGATGGGCTCCGCCAGCCCCGCCGGGTTGCTTCTTCCTACCAGACACAGAGGTGGAGCGCAGAACACTGCGGTGCACCAGAGGCCCTTCCAGAAAGGTCTAGCCAGGAGGTGCCGCCCTGGACATTCTTACAGACCAGGAAAGCCAGGCGGGCCTCAGTGTCCCAGCCTGTGGGGCTCGGAAGGCGAACCCTCTGGGTCCTGGGGGGACCAAGGCTGGTGCACCGGATGCAGGAATCCCTCATTCCAGAAACCACGACAGCCGGCGTCCACGTGAGGGAAGGCCTCCTCCAAAGAGCCTCCTCTGACAGAAACCATCTGCCCTCCAGTGACGCTCAGTCTAAACAACACGGCCCCACGCAGGGCCTGCCAAGGGCTCTCGTGGGAGGCCCAGCGACAGACTGGCACGAGGCCAGCAGGGCAGACGAGGCGGGCATGCAGAAAGGGGGCCTGGGGCCAAGGGAGGGCAGCAGTCGGGGTCCCCGCAGACCCCAGGGGGAAGGGTGGGCCAGCACTGGCATGCAGACTCCCCCGAAGTCACCTTCACACAGAAGTCCCTGAGCTGTGGGGGCTGGCACACGTCCTACAGGGCATCCCCTCCTCCGTCCCCCTGCCATCTGCTCCTCTGAGAACCTTCTAGGAGCGATGACCAGAAGCCTGAATACTTGCCAGCCCTGAACACCACGTATCTGGCTCAGGTCACCTGTGGGCACACCCCCGCCCCATGCCACCTGACACAGGACGGCAGCCACAGTAGAGGCTGGTCTGCACGGGGTGGCACCCCAGCAGCGAGCGTGCCAGGGCCATGGCCAGGCTCCACCCCGCAGGGCCCCAGCGGTTTTCTGCCATGTGCAGACCTGGACCTGCTCCCTGCCTTTCCATACCACAGGCGGCCCTCCGACGTGAGAGCCCGGGCCAGGGGGATGGGGGCCCGGGAGAGCTGCACAGCGGGGAGGCAGAGGACGTGGGGAAGGCCGGACAAGAGCCCCAGACTGGAGCCCTTGGATAAGGCCTTCTCCCTGGCCACTGGCAAGCACCCTCTCCGAGTCCTCCAGGGGCCCAGAGCAGGCCGGGGGCACAGGATGGCACCCTGAGCCCCTCCCAGGCAGGATGGGGCCTCAGAGGTGGGCGCCAGGTCATGTCTAGAACTGAGAACAAGGGGTCTCACCAGAGAGCAGGCATCACCTGAGCTCCCGCCCCGTGCCCAGTGCAGGGGCCTTCCCTGTCTTGGGCAGTGACAGCGGGACCCCTAGGGCTCCAGGGGTACCAGCTGCGGCTCGTGCTGTGGGTCTGAGGGGAGAGGCCTAATGAGACATCCTCAGAGGGGACCAGGTACCCTGCGGGAGGGCAGACCATGCACAGAACCCCCACCCAGCCAGCCCGCCCACCTGCCATAGGGGAAACCGCCCTCCTGGTCTGCATTCGTGGAGAGAGCAGACAGCAGACTTGTTTTTTCCAAATAATGTCCTTACTTGACAAAATTAAAAGCTGGCAGACCTCTGAGATCTCCTAACTTTCCCGTTGGAGTCTCTGCTCAATCATGAAACTCACAGCGGGCCTCCCCCACCCTCCCTGGGACTGGAGACGGGGTGTAGGGTGGGGCTGGGACATGGGCCACACAGCACTGTTGAGCATCCAAGCCAGAGAGGGAGGTCAGCCATTCCACAACCAGGGGCGGCACCCCCAGAAGGAAGGGGTCTGACGGGCCGTGGGCCTGGGGCACCAGGCCTCCCATCACAGGGGTGCAGAGGAGCAGCGGTGCCCTGAGACCACAGGCAAGATGGGACCCCCACACTCAGACTGTGGCTGGGGGTCACAGTGAACACCTATGGTTGGGACAGGGTCTCCGTCCCTGACTGCAGCTGGGCAGTGAGGGCAGCCTCATGGTGGGGAGGGGGAACCAGCCGCCACACCCCCCACGGTGGGGAGGGGGAACCAGCCGCCACACCCCCTACGCTCGGGGCCCTGGTGGGCAGCCACAGGGGCTCTGAGCCCAAATAACAGGGCTGCTGGGGGGGGGGGGTCAAGAGGGAAAGGGCTCCCTGAGGAAGTGACCCTTTTCTGAGACTGAAGCCTGAGTGGGAATAGTGAGAGCAGCATGTGCAAAGGTCCTGGGGCTGGGCAGGGAGCGTCCAGTGCAGCAGAACGTCAGTGGGTGTGGGCCTTTGTGAGCCAACGACAGAACAGAGGGAGGGAGGCCAGGGTGACCTCAGGGCCAGCCTGGGCAAGGTCTCCAGAGCCAGCCATAGGGCTCCGGCCCCAGCCCTGAACCCACACAGGAGACACAGATGAAGTCTGGACCCAACATTGCCTGCAAACCTGGGGCAGACACAGAACCCCTGAAACCGGCTGGACAATGGGCCAGAGATGCAGGTAGCTTGAATGTTAAATGTAGAGTCCTGGGCTTTGAACCGAGCAATCAAAACATCATCCACCCGACTGGGAACCAGCCAGCGGGGCCGTGACCAACGGGGTTCCCCAGAGCAGGGTGGGCGGGGGCGGGAGTGCACTCACCGAGCTGGGGTTCAGCCCCACATTCGCCTCCACATACGTCTCGGTCTTGGGCTCCACGGCCAGCTCGGCCTCCAGGATCTTCTCCACCGGCATGTCCTCGTTGGCGCTGCTCGTGGACTCCACCTCGTTCTCCCCCCGGTCCTTGCCCCGCTGCCGCTCCTCCTGCACGGCTGGAGCACGGGGAGGCCGCCGGTCAGCCCACAGCTCCTGCCGCAGCCCCTCCGCTGCCAGGGGCCAAGCAGCGCCCACCCTGAGCCAGCCCGTCCACAATGCCGGCCAGAGCCAGGGAGACTGACGCTGCTCGGAGCTGGCCAGACCACAGCCCGGTCTCTGCCCCATGCCTGGCCTCCCAGTGGCTGTGGGCCCTGAGCACAGAGCATGCCACTTCTCATTAACTCACTCAACTACTGTTCACACCAAGACCCACCCAGGACCAGCACAGTTGGGGCCTGGCGCTCGGGGAGCTGACGGTTCAGCAGGAACCCAAACATGCAAGGAGAAGGGCTCTGATAGGCTATAGACTCGGGCAAAGCCAGGAAGGCTTCCCGGAAGAAGTGGCAATGAAACTGAAGAAGCAGGGAAAACAGGGGTAACAATTCAGGCAGAGGAGGCAGCATACACAAAGGGCCAGCACCAGAGCAGAGATGCTGCTGCCCCAAGGCCTCCCATACCAGCTGCAGAGTCACAACAAGGGGTACAAGCATGGGGAGCAGGGCCGGGCACCTGGATGGGGTCCAATGTGTCCCAGGAAAGGGACAGGAGGGGACGCAGATCCCTGACAGGCCCCTTCTACTGCAGGGAGGAGAGGCGCCAAACCCAGGCATGAGTCGGGCCGCCCTGGGCTGGCCTGGCGGGGGCCGGGGCAGGGGACAGGCGCAGCACGGGGGTGGAGGACCGAGCAGATGGTGTGGTCAGCGGGGCGGCCTAGTTTCTGGGAACCCAAGGAGAGAAGCTGATGGGAAGGGCTCACTTCAACGCTGTCCCCAAGGGGACCACACGGAAGGAAGGTCAAGGGGACTGGGCACCCCACAGCTGGGCGTTCATAGACCCTCGACTTTGTGGCCTGCGCAGCTCAAGCCGCCCTCTCCCAAGAGGGGCCGGGCTCACTCCATGCCGGCACCCCAGAGCTTCGGGAACTAAGCGGCACCACACTCATCCTCGGGAGGTGGCACGGGAGGTGGCACAGGAGGTGGCCACGAACCACCGTGTGCCCCAACTCCCAGACCACTCCTGCGGGGATGGACCTCAAGGCCTAGAGCGACACACGTGAGAGCAGGAGGGCCTGCGGCATCCACAGGCCCCGCCCCCCACGCCCGGGACCAGCCAGACCTGGGATGAGCCCCGCCCCACCCCAGCTTGGGACCAGGCCTCATGGCGGCCACTCCTCCTGCCCCCTGGGGACCGTCCTGCTCCCCAGCCACACTCAGAGCCACGGCACCAAGAGGTCCTGGTCAACGGCCCACCCCGGGGGACCTGAGGATAGGATGTTCCGACAGAGGCTGGTGACCGTGTGGGAAGCTCCAGGTCAGCTAGCGCACAGGGGCTGACTCAGGCCGGCTGACTGCGACAGCTGCAAGCACCCTGGCCTGGAGCCCAGCCTCTGGTCAGCCCTGGAGGTGGGGGCTCAGCAAAGAGGCCACAGGGCTTTCCAAGGACACCCACCTCCCTCGTCCAGCCCTAGTCCCACCCAGGTCTCCCTCTCCTTATTTCTCACCCATCCCAGAGTTTTGCCCCCCAAACCAGCCCGAACACCCTCCCCACTGAGCCTCAGCCCGGCACCCCAGCCCTCATTCTCCTGGGGGAGCTTGCTCTCAGCCCCCTCCTCTTTCCCGGTCCAACATGATAGGCCAAGCTCCCAGAGGCCGGGAGGGTGCGGCCCCCGTGGGGCCCCCCACGTGCCAGCGCCTCTCCAGGCCTCAGATGGGGCTCACCCTCCCCTGCAGGACATCTCTGCCGGGCAGAAATGGTTCCGCATCCTCGCTGACATCAGCTGCCACGGGACTGCCCCCGTGCACCTCCAGACCCACCCTGCCTGCTCCAAAGCCCAGGCTGGGGCTCTCACTCAGGCCGCTCACCCTGGGCAAATGCAGAGGACCAGCCGGAGGAAGGCGGGGCGTCCACAGCTCTGGCCCCACCCCGCCCAGCCTTGTTCTCAGGACTCCGCAAGCCCCCCATCCCCCTTCTTCCAGGCGGGGGGGGGGGGGGAGGAGGAGGGAGGGCCCCCGTTGCCTGCTGCCTGGGGATCCTGCAGGCCTTGAGTGGTTCTG